GTACCTGTTAGGCACTCTTCCCGTGTCTCTGCCGCCAGCAAAATGTCATCTACATACTGCAACAGAATCAGGTGGGGGTGGAGGGTCCTGAAAGCAGTCAGATCTTGGTGCAGGGCCTCATCAAAGAGGGTGGGGCTGTTCTTGAACCCCTGTGGCAGCCGTGTCCAAGTAAGCTGACCGGAAATTCCCAGATCGGAGTCCTTCCATTCGAAGGTGAACAGGGGCTGACTCTGGTGGTGCAGCTTTAGGCAGAAGAAGGCATCTTTTAGGTCCAATACAGAGTACCAGGTATGGCTGGGAGACAGGGTGCTCAACAAGTTATAAGGGATTGGGACTGTAGGGGGGATATGTTCTACCCGCTTGTTGATTTCTCTCAGGTCCTGCACTGGTCTGTAATCCCCGCTCCCAGGTTTCTTAACAGGCAACAGAGGGGTGTTCCAGGCTGACCGGCATGGGATTAATATCCCTTGTTCCAGCAGTCTTTTAATGTGTGGCCTAATTCCTTGGCGGGCTTCGGCTGTCATAGGATATTGCTTGACAGCCACCGGGGTCGCGGTGGCTTTTAGTTCAATAATTAGGGGTGGCTGGTGTATGGCCAGCCCCATTCCTCCCGTCTCTGCCCAAGCGTCAGGGTACTTGGACAGCCACTGATCTATGTCTGTCTGGACAGGATGGGGACCATGATGTAGTCTATATTCATCTTCTAATTTAAGAGTAAGCACTTGTATGGGTGTCCCTTTGGAATCAGTAACCTTGGCTCCCTTGTTTTCAAAGTAGATGTGTGCTCCAAGCTTGGTTAGTAGGTCCCGTCCTAGCAGGGGGTAGGGACAGTCTGGTACATGCAGGAAGGTATGAGTCACCTTCCCTGAAGCAAGCTGAACCTCCCGGCTTGTAGTCCAGCGGTATCGTTTGGCTCCAGTGGCTCCTTCTACCCATATTGTTTTCTTACTAAGCGGGCCAGTCGTCTGGGTAAGGACGGAATGTTGCGCCCCAGTATCTACCATGAAGGTGACTGGCTGTCCCCCCACATGAAGAGTTACCCTGGGCTCATGTGGGGGTTCCTGGCCCCAACTTCCCTAATCAAGGTTAAGGATTTCAGCTTTTTCTTCCCTGTTTTCTCTTTCTCTTGGTACAGTCCTTTACCCAGTGTCCTTTTTCCTTGCAGTAGGCACACTGGTCTTTCTCTAGTCGGACACGCCCTCGATCTCCCTTTCTCTCTACTCTGCTCTCATCTTCCTTTCTTACTACTGTGGCCGAGATTCTGCTTAATTCCTTATTTCGCTTTCGATCTCTCATTGCCTCTCTATCTTCTGCCTCCCTTTTCTGCCTTTCTTCTTTTTCTTCTGGTCTTTCTCTTCTGTTAAAAATTCTCTCTGCCTCCCTTAAGAGGTCTCTAAGACCTTGCCCCTGCAGATTTTCCATTCTCTGGAGCTTACTCCTAATATCAGGAGCTGATTGCCATATGAAAGACATAGAAACACTTACTTCCTGATTGGGGCTATCTGGGTCAAAGGGAGTGTACCTCCGATATGCCTCTTTAAGTCTTTCTAGAAACACAGTGGGCGGCTCGTCGGTTCCCTGCATTACTGATCTTACCTTGGCCAAATTGGTGGGGCGTCTTCCTGCCCCTTGGAGGCCCGCTACAAGCACCTGGCGATAAAGACGTAGGTGTTCCCTACCTTCAGCCGTGTTGAAATCCCAAGCAGGTCTGGTGAGGGGAAAGGCAGCCTCGATCTCGTTTGGCAATTGGGTTGGTCTCCCGTCTGCCCCCGGGACATGCTTTCGGGCTTCTAGAATGACTCTCTGCTTTTCCTCCGTAGTTAGGAGGACTTGCAGGAGCTGTTGGCAATCGTCCCACATGGGTTGGTGGGTAAGGAGGATAGATTCTATCAGGGCCGTTAGGGCCTGCGGGTCTTGGGAAAAGGACGGGTTATGAGTTTTCCAGTTATACAGGTCTGAAGCGGAGAAGGGCCAATACTGAAACTGGTTTCCTTCCCCTCCTGCGAGTCGGAGGGGCAGGATGTGTGAGGAATCTCCCTGTCCTCTTCTGTCTCTGAGTCGCCCCGCGATGGGGGAGGGAGCGACCTCCGGTCCTTCTGCTTGGGCTTCGTCTGGAACAGCCGCAGCGGCCTGTGGGGGGGGGAGGTAGGGAGGGGGGTTCTCACTCAGCAGATCAGCAGGAGCACTCTCATCAGGGGGTAAAA